AAAGATCCTGTGAATATAGGGAAGGGATGGAAGGGAGGTGGCAATTTCAGATGTCTACAGGAGCCAAGTAAGTAATGTAAATAAAAATGATATGAACTGAGTGTAAGATGATTATTGGTAGTGATCAACCCTCATCCTCAGTGTTGAGAAGCAGTTGGGAAGTGACGGAAACTGTGAGAATGGAAGCCCAAGGTTGCAGGTCTTAAATTTTTCAAGAGAAATGGAAATCCCAATTTTTATGGGAAGTCTGTTGGAACTTAAAATTTGGCAACTAAAGGGATTTTCAAGCAAGGTGCAAACAGTAGATTGCCAGTCTATGATCTCTAAAGTCATGTGCCCCTGTCAGCAGACATCTAGCAGTGGTACCTACACAGCATCAGACTGACTTAGCATATTCTGTCCCCTTCTGCTTAGTGTGAGGAGCCTTTCAAGATGGGACAGCAACTGGCCAAGCAAGCAGTGGAGCAGGAATCAGGCCTAGTGACTGGCCATAATGATCTGATGGTGGTTGGGATGGGAAGGCAGTCTCAACTTGTTCTTTTCCCCTTGCTTTCTCCCATCTCAAGGTACACAATGTGTGGCAGGTTACTCCTGACTCCTTGACCCTTTACTCTTCTGTGTTCTTATTGCTAATGGATATACCAAGGTGCTGAAAGGATAAGTGAATAGGCTGGTTCACTGGATGTCTTTGGAAAAATATCTGAAAAGGGGAAAAGATAAATATATTAGCTGCTCTAGAAAGGGACAGACTGCCTAAGTTAGGAGAAACTGCTTGAAATTCCCCTTTGTCGGAGCAACAGTAGTTGAAAGTTGCCTGCTAACACCTCACCGCAACTAACTGGAAAAGCAACTTGACCTCCCTACTGACCTTGCTATTTTTAAACATATATATCACCAGCTCACCCTAGACTAAGTCTCTTTCCTCACATGGTGTGTGAACCCTGATAATTTCTCAGAAGTTCAGACGGTCTGTTTGCCTACAACCTTTTCCTAGTTTTGTTGCCCAGGCTAGAGTGAGTGCCGTGGCGTCAGCCTAGCTCACAGCAACCTCAAACTCCTGGGCTCAAGTGATCCTCTTGCCTCAACCTCCAGAGTAGCCGAATAGCTGGGACTACAGGCATGCACCACCATGCCTGGCTAATTTTATTTATATATATATATTAGTTGGCCAATTAATTTATTTCTATTTATTATAGAGATGGGGTCTCGGTCTTGCTCAGGCTGGTTTCAAACTCCTGACCTCGAGCAATCCACCTTCCTCGGCCTCCCAGAATGCTAGGATTACAGGCGTGAGCCACCGCCTGGATTATACTCTTTACATAATTTTATATCCTGCCCTTTTTTGATTTAACATGTTCCATGCCTTTCCCCCACATAATTAAAAGAACTTCCTCAGTATTTTTAATCATGGCATAATTGTTTGGATATACTGTAATTTATTGAGCTAGTTCCTTCTTGATAGGCCTTTTCTAATCTTTAGCATTATAAATAGTGCTGTAATAAATTATCTTATACATGGTATCAGTTTATGCATAAGCAAGTATAGCTGAAAGATTAATTCTTACAGCTAGAATTCCTGAGCCAATAATATATGTACGTTTTAGAGACATTGCCAAATTGCCCTCCTCTTACAGATGCTGATTTACACTCCTGCTAGCCATGAATGAGTTGGTTTGATCATAATTTCAACAGATTATGTTTGATCTTTCCCAATTTGATTGGTGAAAACTGACATCTCATTGTAGTTTTCATGTGTATTTATCTTTGTGAGGGGATTCAACATTTTTCACATTTGAGACAATATTTTCTCTAAATTCTCTCTTTTGCCCATTTTCTATTGAAATATTGTTTTATCAACTTTAGGAGCTCCCTTCTTACAGATATTAATATTAGCCATTTGTGATAGGAATTGCAATTATTTTGATTCTATTTCTGCCATACCAAAAAAATTATATAAAGCAAATTTAGCTGAGAGAATATTCCTAAATAGACACCTGTTCGTTAATATCTAGGCATTTATAATGGTACTTTATCAAACACTACATCCTTTTTTCTCTCATAGTGTGCATACTTCCATTATTTGCTTAGATATAAGAAAGTCACAGATCCTAATGTACAACTCAAAACCAGTTCATACATTTTGACCAGATAGCTTCCCTCTCAGAAATAAGTTTGCTGCTTGGAAGGTTTAATTCTGTGAAATCTTCCTAAATTATTGGGGAGGCAGTATCATGTAGCAGTCAGCTGTGCAAACTCTGGAGTGAGACATTAATTGTGTACCCTATAGAGCACTACAACTTACTCCTCCCCGTTGTAGCAATTATCATTAGATTCCTCACATAGTCTTACTTAATCCTTGTGGTTTCAAGAGATAGCTACTATTTCCATTTTTACAGATAAACAAACTAAGACTTGATTTGTCCATGATCTTATAGTCTTTACACAAATTTAGGGCTGTTATTATACTTAAATGACAATCTGCTTAAAGAATGTGCCCTGTGCTGCTATAGCATTTTTCTCAAATAAGGCTCCAACCCTTTAGCCTAATATCCAAGACCATTTACAAAGTGGCAACTATCTGAAATGATTCCTCTAGACTCAAGTAGCCTTCTTGCATGTCATTTCCAAGCAGTGAAAGTAGTAGTTTAAGACCCACATGATTGTGTAACAGGACTGCCCTGAATGCTGAGTCTTAAGGTAATGTTTGTCTAAAACAGAACTGGACATCAAACAAGCACGTAAAACTGACTTTATTGGACATCTCAGTGATTGGGTAAGATAAACATCCCCAAAATCTGGAAGGCTCAAACTCCCAGTCTCTGTTTTAGATATTTTTATATAGCTAGTTCCACCCTTCAACATGCCTCTTACGCCAGAGAGAAAAAGAATTCGTTTCTGTCTGTAAGTAATACATGACACATCCACCCAAATCTCACTGGCCAGAGCAAATCACATGATCAAGCCTGAAAGCAACAGGGCATAGAAATATAATACAATCCTCCCCTGGGAAAGGACAGCAAGTATTTTAGAACAGTAATACAATCTACCACAAGCCACTATGTAGGAAGAGGAGAAGTGAGCATTGCAGACTGGACCAAGGTGAGGATCACTGCAAGAAAACTGTTACTACAGAACGAAGGCCAGGCCTGAGTTTCCCAGGAGGAACCAGCGGTCCCTTTTTGTAACAGTCATATTTGGCTTACACCATAGCAGAAGAGGCACGGCCAAAGAAGAAAATGTGAAGGTGTACCATCTGCACCACCACTGTACTATAGGAGGGAAGAGAATCTAAGTGCTAAGTAGCCCTGCTGCCAGCAGTTGATGACAACTAAGGAAAAAGGAATGGCACTCCATGTCACTATGGATACCTCTAGCCTCTGCCCTACAAATTCTGCCCTCAAGTACTTCATTGTGTATTAAATGAAAAGAATGAACTTTGACCTTTGACCCACTACTTGACAGCATATACAAAAGTTAATTCAAGATAGATTATACACTTAAATATGCAAGGTGAAACAAGCTTCTAGAAAAAAAACATGAGACAGTGTAGTACTGACAAAAAAAAAAAATAGACATATAGATCAATGAAATAGAATTAACAGTCCAGAAAATAAACCCTCACAGTAATAGTCAAATTTATTTTCTACAAGTTAGCCCAGCGTGGTGGCTCACACCTATAATCCCAGCACTTTGGGAGGCCAAGGTGGGAGGATCACTAGAAGCAAAGAGTTCGAGACCCCATTTCTACATAAAAAATTAAAAATTAACTGGGTGTGGTGGCACACACCTAAAGTTCTAGCTATTGGGGAGATGGAAGCAGGAGGATCACTTGAACCGAGGAGTTTGAGGCTGCCATGAGCTATTATAGTACAGCCACACAAGGGACTCTTACCCAGCAATAAAAAGGAATGAAGTACTGATTCATACTCCAACATGGATAAATCCTGAAAACAGTATGCTAAGTGAAAGAAGCAGACACCGAGGTCACATATTATATTATTCAATTCATACAAAATGTCAAGAATAGGTAAATCCATAGAAGCACAAAGTAGATTAGTGGTTGCCAGGGGCTAGGAGGGATAGGGAGTAACTGCTAATGGTTATGGGATTTTTTGGCCACGGGGAGGGCAGGGAGGTAGGTGGTCACAATATTCTCAAATTAGATACTGGTGATAAATTAGATAGTGGTAATAGTTGTACAACTCTGAAGATACTCTAATTCACTGTATTGAATACTTTAAAAGGTAGATTTTTGGCTAGGCATGGTGGTTCACGCCTGTAATCCTAGCACTCTGGGAGGCCGAGGCGGGAGGATCACTCGAGGTCAGGAGTTGGAAACCAGCCTGAGCAAGAGCGAGACCCCATCTCTACTAAAAATAGAAAAAAATTAGCTGGACAACTAAAAATATATAGAAAAACTTAGCCAGGCATGGTGGCACATGCCTGTAGTCCCAGCTATTTGGGAGGCTGAGGCAGAAGGATTGCTTGAGCCCAGGAGTTTGAGGTTGCTATGAGCTAGGCTGATGCCACAGCACTCCAGCCCAGGCAACATAGTGAGACTCTGTCTCCAAAAGAAAAAAAAAGGTAGGGCCAGGCATGGTGGCTCACATCTGTAATCCTAGCACTCTGGGAGGCCGAGGCAGGCGGATTGCTCGAGATCAGGAGTTCAAAACCAGCCTGAGCAAGAGTGAGACCCTGTCTCTACTATAAATAGAAAGAAATTAATTGGCCAAGTAACATAGAGAGAGAGAGAAAAAAAAACATTAGCTAGTCATGGTGGTGCATGCCTGTAGTCTCAGCTACACTTGGGAGGCTGAGGCAGGAGGATTGCTTGAGCCCAGGAGTTTGAGGTTGCTGTGAGCTAGATTGCCCCCACGGCACTCGCTCTAGCCTGGGCAACAAAGCGAGACTCTATCTCAAAAAAAAAAAAGTAAAGAAAACTACAACTCCCAGCGTGCCTCGTGGCCCACTGATCCGGGCGATCATGTGATCCATGCTCACGTGTCTCTGCTGCCGGCTGGGGAATGAAGCACCGAAGGTAGGTGGTATGAGGTAGAGGCGGTGGGGAGTGGACACGGTAGTTCCCCCCGGTCCTGGAGCCCCCCCAACACCGGGGCAGAGCTCGGGCCTTTTCCCTACAGGGTTCTGGAGCCTGTTGTCCTTGCCCTACGCCCGCCCTCTGTTGCCCCGGCTCCGCCGCTCCTTAGCCCAGCCAGTCACCTCCTAGTCCTAGGCCGGCATCGAGTCCTAGAGCCCCTCCCCACTTTACCTCACAGTTGCACACCCGCCTTGCTTCAGGCCTGAGAATCAATCCCCCGGTGGCCTGGCCCGTGTGCACCCTGGCACACCTCCCAGTGCAGCCTACCTCTTGTTTTTCAGGACTCCAGCTGCAAGCTGGACTGGGAACCCACTCCAGTTGGGATCTGAGGGGCCTTCATCTCTGGCCTGAGCATATGGGCACCAGGCTTCTAGTTCTGGCTCTGCCAACTAGCCGCAATGACCTTAGTCTAACATCTTTCCCACCGTGGGCCTGTTGCCCTGTCTGATCTGGCACTCCTTTCTATGAGTTAGCGTCAGAGCTGCCCAGTTCCCCACACTCTGCTGAACCAGCACGGAAACAGCCCAAACTCTTCTCTCTGCTGACAGCAGTTTTTAGGTTATGTCTTGAGAAAGAAGAAATTGGGGCCAGGGGGGAAGTGAAGAGAATCAGATCCCAGACGTTTGGGGAGAAGGAGCACTGCAGCCCCACAATAGCCAATCAGGTAGAAAGGGCAGGTAAGCTGGGAACAATGGGGTTGAGTATTTTGGGTGTGAGGGGTTGGGGGTACTGAGAGATCTTGGACCAATGCACAGAGCCTGCAAGAGGTGGGACCAGTCTGCCTGAGTTCCCTAAGGATCCCCACCTGCGCTCTCTTGTGGGTGGCAGAAGAGTCTAGGGCAGATGGTGCAGGACTGGGACAGGGGTGTCAGAGGGAAGTGTGCCGCTTGGAGAGTCAGGAAGCCACACCAATCTGTGTGACCTTGAATGAGTCACTCTGTAGATCTCTGTAATGTGAGCAGGGTGGAGGTGGTCTTGCAATTCTGGTGGCATCCACTTTGCAGGACTCTCTCTTGAGCTATGCTAGAAGCCTGGGAGTCCCAAAACTGCCTTCACGACTCACTGCTTTGATTTTTGCTGAGTTGTTGGCCTGGTGACAGGATGCATAAGAGGAAGAGCCCTGTGGCATCTGACTGATCTTTCTGTATTTGGAGGCAGCGGAGGAATGTTTCCTCTGGAGCTGTGTCCCTTAGTTCCATGCTTGATGACAGATGTCTGAGAGCACCTGAACTTTCTCTTTCCTTCTCATGAGTGTACCGTTCCAGCACAAGGGCCTTTGGTAGCCATTCTACACTCCCAGGGGCTGAGGGGATCAGAGGGCATGGCTCTATGAGGGACACTAGTTAGTTAAGTCATTATGGCTGAATCCAGCCAGTTCCCTTCTTTTCCCTGTGGGCTATAAAGACTAAACCAGAGGGAAATGAGTAGTGAATAAAAGAGAGTTTCATATGAATACTCTGGATTGGGACTCAGGAATGATGAGGTTGGGGAAAGGAGTCTTTGGCAGATTTCACCAGCCTGCATTGTAACCAGCCAATAGCAGCCTCTGGGGAAGGCTGCTCTTGGCTCCTTACTACCCCATCAGCCCCTGCCTTGGTAACCTGGCCTTCATGTCTCTCTTAACACATTTCTCACAGGAACTTACAATGTAAAGGTGAAATGACTTGCCCAGGGTCACACAGCTAGGAAGTGGAGGAGTCAGCATTCTGACTTCAGAGTCTAATCCAAGACCCAGTCCCACCACCCCTCTCTGTTCAGGGCTGCACTTAATCTGGGGGTGGACTTGGTTCTTTAAGACCATCATTTTCTTGGGGGTCTCAGGCTGTGAGCTGAACCTTGAGAACACTGAAGGTCATTTCAGAGCCTCTTAAGATTCTGGGAAGCCCAGTCACAAAACAAAAAAGATTCTGGGAAGAAGAAATTTCTTCCTAGTTTTCAATAAAGAGGACCAAGGCCAAAGAAAAACTGCAGATCACCTGTGTTTACCCAGACAGTGACGAGAATCAATCAGATGATAAGCCTGTATCTCAGCTCAGCTGTGCCCAAGGTACCATCTTGGGCCCAAAGCTGGAGCAAATACAATCAAATGGATGCCCCTGGGGTGAGACAGGCCTGGCTTTACCACTAACTGCCATGTGACCCAGGGGTGAGTGCTTAATCTGTCTGGGATTCAGTTTCCTCTTTGGTAAAATGGTGATTGTCATCACCTGCCTTTTCGGACTACATTGAGGATTAAAATAAAGCATTCCATGGCTGCAGCAATGGTGGTAACAATAAACATTGCACATTTGGCTTCTTGTAATCTAACCCAGGAGAACAAGTCAAGTGCCCATGAAATGCTAGAACATGAGGGAATGCAGGAAGGAAACATCCTGAATGGGGCTGGGTTCCCCAGGTGGCTCCAAGAAGAGCTCAGGCAGTGTTTGGGAAATGAGGAAGGAATAGGACCTGAAAGGGTGGCTGGCAAAGTGGCTGGGAGCATTCCAGGCATGGGATTTATAATTGTTTTCCTGAACACACATACATAACAGGCGTAGAGAGCTTATCACATGAGACATGGCTTAAATTTTGAACGGCCTTGAAAGCCACACAGAATTTAGACTCAGGGCCAGAGGGAGGCATGCTGCACTGTAATATGTTGAATCACGGTTCTTGGTGAGGGCTCTTCTGGGGACCGTGTGGTGTTGAAACAGGCCAGGAGGCCAGACAGATCTGGATCCAGATCCTGCCCTGCAACTTGCTAATATGTGACCCTGGGACAGTGATTTGATGTCTCTGAACCTTATGACCATGAGGTGTCATAAGGATTGAATGAGATAAGATAGGTCCATGATGCACCTACCCAGTGCATGGCCTCTCTCTAGTGCTGATGTGTGTTACTACTCTTTTTTACGCTATGGGTCTGTAAGCCTAAAGCAAAAACGATTTGCAAGTGACATATTTCTGTCCCTGCCTCCCCACACTGTATCACCCAGTACAGGGGTCTGTACAGAAGCACACCTAGGTTTGAATCCTAGCCATGAATCTTAGGAAAGTTATTTTGCCTTTCTTTGCCATAGTTTCCCCATCTCAGGATAACAGTACTACCTGCCTTTGTCCCATCTAGGTTGAGAAGAGTCCTCTGAGGATAACAGCCCCAAACAGGCAACACTGCCAGGGGGATGTGTTCATGAGGCAGAACCCCTCCCCCCGCCCCACAGGAAGAGGGTTCTCGGGGCCATGGCCCAGCTCAGCATCAACAGTGACCATGGCGAGTGGGGCTTGAGCACAGATGCCGGGGAGCGGGCCCGGCTGCTGCAGAGTCCGTGTGTGGACACAGTCCCCAAGAGTGAGTGGGAGCCCCCTCCTGGGGGTCCAGGCAGAGGCACCACTTCCACACTTGGGGCTGTCTTCATTGTCGTCAATGCCTGCCTGGGCGCTGGGCTGCTCAACTTTCCAGCAGCCTTCAGCACTGCTGGGGGCGTGGCAGCTGGCATCGCACTGCAGATGGTGAGTGCATGGGCAGGGAGGGCAGAGGTGCGGTTCAGGTGGGCTCTTTGCCTCAAAAGGGAGACTTCGGGTCAGGGATGGCCAGTAGGTGACACATGCGACACTCTCCCCTCCCCCACACATGGCAGACATTACTAATCTATTCCAGCATTCTTTCCTCTGAGCCCAGACAAGGCTTCAGAAGCCTTCCCAACAATCAGAGAAATTTGAACATCAACTACATATCTAATTTTGTAGGTGTTACATTGATTTTGTGGTTATGTTTAAAAGAGGGCCTTTATCTTTATCAGAACTACATACTGAAATACTTACTAATGAAATGATGTGATAGTTTGTATTGGCTTCAGAGTAATCCACAGTGGGAAGGGGAGTATGACAAAGCAAGATGGGCCACGAATTGGTCATATTTGAAGCTCAGTGATGGGTAATGGCAGTACTGTTCTCCCTACTTTTGTATATTTGAGATTTTTCACCAAACATTTTGTTTTCACATAAAATCTCAATTCAGCAACCTCTAGCAATCTATTACAATTTCCCTGTGAGATTTGCCAGGCCCACTTTGGGCACTGGCCTAGTAAAGGCTCAGCAGGCCCTCTCCTGCCAGGCCTCTCCCACTGCTCTGGTTCTGCACCCCTGCAGGGCATGCTGGTTTTCATCATCAGTGGCCTTGTCATCCTGGCCTACTGCTCCCAGGCCAGCAACGAGAGGACCTACCAGGAGGTAGTATGGGCTGTGTGCGGCAAGCTGACAGGTGTGCTGTGCGAGGTGACCATCGCCATATACACCTTCGGCACCTGCATCGCCTTCCTCATCATCATCGGGGACCAGCAGGACAAGAGTGAGGTTTCCCCTCAGTACCTACTTCTCCCCCTCGGCCCTGGGGATCCTGGGTGGAGGGAAAAGGCACTAAACACCTGCCTGGGACATACTCAGGCCCATCATTCACCTGGGAGTGCTCCCTCTAGGCTCCTGAGCCCATTATATGGAGGGAGGTCCTGGGGCCCAGCAGAGCAGAAGGGTCACACCCTGTGGTGGCCTGACATGATATTCCCTCCTTCTTCCCTGCGCAGTTATAGCTGTGATGGCCAAGGAGCCTGAGGGGGCCAGCGGCAGCCCCTGGTACACAGACCGCAAGTTCACCATCAGCCTCACTGCCTTCCTCTTCATCCTGCCCCTGTCTATCCCCAGGGAGATCGGCTTCCAGAAGTATGCCAGGTTCGGAGCAGGTTCCCATCCCGGGGCAGTACGAAGCTCTGATCCTGGGCAGATGGAGACCCAGGGCTGCTGGGGAACCCCGCTCATCCATGCCACCTCGCCTTCTCAGGGAGCAAGAGTCGGCAAGGCAGGGTGGGCCAGGGCTTCAGGCAGCAGACCTTCCTTTTCTGATTCCATCAAGTGAAATATTCAGTTCCAAGTGTCCTTGTCAAAGAAAAGATGGGTAGTGGCCGGGAGCATGAAGGCAGCCTGCTGGCCTGTGCCTTGGCTTTCCCTAAGAGGATGGGATTTGGATGACCTGAGATTTTCAGCCTGGCAGCATCTTCCACGCAGCTTGGCACGAAGGGAAGAGACTGGCTTCCTGGCTTAGCGTCTGGAAAGCTGTGGGATTCTAGACTATCCCCAGTCTGTAAGTGAATGGGTCTCACTCAGCTGTCTCCATGGCTCCCTTGAATGTAGACATTCCAGGATTTGTACTCTGAACCCTCTTACCTCTGGCATCTCCTACTTCTCAAAGGCCAGGCTCAGAGGATGGCCTGCTCGCCACGCTCACCAAGGCTGGGCTTCTCTGATCAAAGTCCCAGGTGTGCTTCGGAGCCCAGGTCTCTGCCATGGTCTCTGAGCCATGGAACTGAACCAAGACATTTCCCAATGTTCAGAAATGTCCATCGGGTACCTTATTGGCTCCCTCCTAGCTGTGGTTGCTTTCTCTGAAACTTATTTCTCAGACATTTCCTGAGTCTTTGCTTGGCATAGCCCACAGTTTATACAGCAGACACTTGTCACTAGAGCTGAGTGTAGATGTCCCTGGGGAGGGAATCAAAGAAGGCACAACTGGCAAAGGAAAGCGAACACCCAATCTCTGCTTCCCTGCAGCTTCCTGAGTGTAGTGGGTACCTGGTACGTCACTGCCATCGTTATCATCAAATACATCTGGCCAGATAAAGAGATGACCCCAGGGGATATCCTAACCAGGTAAGCGAGGGCTCCTTGGGAGATGTATAGGATAGAAGCTGCCACTTGGGCCCCAGCAGGTGTTGGTCAGGCATCAGAAGGCCACACAAGTAGGCAGAAAGTCATTGCAGAAGACAAGAAAAAAGGGGGAAAAAGGCCACACAAGGGGGCAGAGGTTGTGGCTCACGCCTGTAATCCTAGCACTCTGGGAGGCTGAGGCAGGTGGATTGCTCGAGGTCAGGAGTTTGAAACCAGCCTGAGCAAGAGCGAGACCCCGTATCTACTATAAATAGAAAGAAATTAATTGGCTAACTAATATATATATAGAAAAAATATTAGCCGGGCATGGTGGTGCATGCCTGTAGTCCCAGCTACTCGGGAGGCTGAGGCAGTAGGATCGCTGAGCCCCGGAGATTGAGGTTGCTGTGAGCCAGGCTGATGCCACGGCACTCACTCTAGCCTGGGCAACAAAGTGAGACTCTGTCTCAAAAAAAAAAAATTAAAAAAAAAGTCCACACACATAGGTACTCTTCCCAAGGTTTATTAGCTCCATGGTGCTGACTCATCGATCATTGTAGGGAGGAGGCAAAAGGTCCTAATCTCGTGTTACTGGAGACGGGAGACTTTGCCACCAACATCCAACAAATGAGCCAGTGCAAGACTAGGCCTCAGGTTGTGGAGCTCACAAGGTGGAAATACATTTTTCCAACTTGTGCTTATCTATAAATTCTGTATCTTCCATTTGTACGTAAGTCTGTTTTATGTTTTCTTTTTAAAGTTTCCTTTTTAAAAAAAAAAATAATAATAATAAAGTTTCCTTTTTTTTTTGAGACAGAGTCTCACTCTGTTGTCTCAGCTAGAGTACCGTGGCATCAGCCTAGCTCACAGCAACCTCAAACTCCTGGGCTCAAGGAATCCTCCTGCCTCAGCCTCCTGAGTAGCTGAGACTACAGGCATGCACCACCATGCCTGGCAACTTTTTCTATATATTTAGTTGGCCAATTAATTTCTTTCTATTTATAGGAGAGACGGGGTCTCGCTCTTGCTCAGGTTGGTCTCAAACTCCTGAGCTCAAACGATCCGCCCGCCTTGGCCTCCCAGAGAGCTGGGATTACAGGCGTGAGCCACTGCGCCTGGCCTCTTTCTATTTTTAGTAGAGACAGGGTCTTGCTCTTGCTCAGGCTAGTTTGGAACTCATGACCTTGAGCGATCCGCCTGCCTCAGCTGGCCTAAAGTTTCCTTGTTTTTTTGAAAGGAACAAACCAGAAAATCAAAAGGGCTTTTCTCAGCCTCAGTTTACTGGCCTGTGAAATGGAAATGTCTCCTCTCCCCATTCCCAGACTTCTGTGGGTGGGACATGTAGAATGCTGGTTGCTGGAGGCCATGGTGGGAGGAATGAAGACTAAGGGTGTGGGGTCAGTTGGTGGCTCTGAGGGCCTCCCAGGCAGCAGCACCTTGTGTTTGTCCACAGGCCGGCTTCCTGGATGGCCGTGTTCAATGCCATGCCCACCATCTGCTTTGGATTTCAGGTGCCCGTTTTGAGGTCCCTTCTGTCCCCTTAGCTCATCCCCCACCCTGAGATGGACCCCACGTTACAGGCAGGATGGGAGAAATCCTGGGTGGAAGGATGGAGTGGGAGCCCAGAACTTCCCCTTGTCTATGGGGCCTTTGTCCCGTGGTACCTGCCTCTAGAAACTGAGGGTGAGGTCACTTCCCCACTATGACTGTGCTCCTTACCTGGACAGTGCCACGTGAGCAGCGTGCCCGTCTTCAACAGCATGCAGCGGCCCGAGGTGAAGACCTGGGGTGGGGTGGTCACGGCCGCCATGGTCATAGCCCTTGCTGTCTACATGGGCACAGGTGAGTGTTCCCCTCCCCCTCAAGTCCCCAGGTGCTTTGGCTCAGCTTTCCTGGGGACAACCCTGCACTCCCAGCAGGACAAACACTTCTGTAGGCATTGGCTTGAACTTGGGCTTCCTGAGACCTCCTCCTGCCAAGATGAGAGAGGTGTATTCATCTATTCATTGATTTATCAGTTCTAAATTGGTGCCTAGGAAGTACCAGGAACTGTTCTTAGCACAGAGGATGACATGGAGAAAAGTAGACCTGGTCCTGCCCTCGTGGAGTTAGCAGTCTCGTTGGAGAGACACAGTTGTGCAAGAGTAACTAGGGAATCGAGAAGGAATTGTAGACAGCAGAGAGCACAGTGACAACAGTGAAACAGGAAAGATGTGAATGGGACCAGGCAGGGTGGTTCATAGAAGGTTCCTCTCTCAGGAGGCCCAAAGAATGAGAAAGAGTCAGACTATGAAGAGCTGTGGGAGATGTGTTCTAGAATAGGAACCACAAACTCCATGACCCTAAGGCAGGGACAAATGGGGTCTGTGTAGCTGGAGTGGAGTGAATTGGAAGTAGGTGGCAGGCACTAAGGCCAGACAGGTAACAGGGGCCAGATGCTATTTGGCCTTGAGGGCTGTTGGGAGCCAGAGAGAAAAAGTTTTAAGCAGGGGAGTGGCTCAGGGAAAGACAGCTCTGATTGCCCTGGGGAGAGTGGCTGAGATGAGCAAGCAGGACTGGGGAGACCCAGCAAGAATAGCCCTGTGGTTCCTTCCATGGATGGGCTGCAGTAGCTGCTAGTACTGTTCTAGCCTCTGAAGAACACAGCCCAGAACAAAAGAGACAAACAAGCCAAGTCCCAATTCTCCTAGGACTTGTGTTCTGGCTGGAGAGACAGACAGTAAGCCAAAAAAAAAAAAAAAATTTGAGGTGTGTGTTAGAAAGAAAATAGAGCAGGGTACTGTGAGCAAGTGCTGGGATGGGAGTCATTGTAGATGGGCTGGCAAGAAGTGTTTTGTAAGGAGGGACATCTGAACTGAGACTTGCATGATGAGGAGATGGCAGCGTGCAGATCAGGGCAGATGGAAGAGTTAGTGTAGAAGCTCCGAGGTGGGAACACACTGGGCAAGTTCAAGATCATAAGGATGGGGGCGGGAGGGCTTCCAGCAAGAAGGGAATATGAGAAGTCAGGGTGGGAGGCATCTGATCCCAGCCTCAGTCTGAGCTTCCAGAGCTACCCCAGTGTCCTCCCCAGCTGATGTCACAAGAGTGGGCAGTCCACCCCCAACCCTCCCAGGGTTGCCCTGACCCAGCCCCCTTGTCCCTGCCCACAGGAATCTGTGGCTTCCTGACCTTTGGAGCTGCTGTGGACCCTGACGTGCTTCTGTCCTACCCCTCGGAGGACATGGCTGTGGCTGTTGCCCGAGCCTTCATCATCCTGAGCGTGCTCACCTCCTACCCCATCCTGCACTTTTGTGGGCGGTAAGCCCCCCCCCCATCCTGCTGGGGCCCTCCTGCTCCTCAGGGCCCCACAGCCCCTGTGAGCCCTTTCAACACAGGCCTTTGGCCTTGTGTGGAGCCCATTCTGTAGAAGTAGAAACTGAAGCCAGTAGAAAAGCATCAGTGCCTAGGATGGCCACCCACCCTAGGATGGTACTCCCCAAGCTGGGCCTCAGGAGCACCCTTTGCCTGGGGTCACCAGAACATTCAGTGTGCCCTCTAAGAATCTCTATTGAGATCCTTTCCTGAGCTTTCACATGGACACCTAGCTTGTTGGATACCCCAGACTGTTCCTTTTAAGGAGAATAATGTATCAGTTTCCACGTGGTGAAGCAAAGCACTAAGCCCTCCACATTCACCATCTCATCTGGTCCCCACAGCAACCAACCAGAGTGCCGGTAGGCCCATTTTTCAGAAGAGGAAACTGAGGCTCAGGATTAGGGCCTTACCCACCATCTACCTAGTTAGGGATCTGGCTCTCGTGAGCTAGAGGTGGGATCCATTAGCAGGGCGCCTCTGAGCCCCTCTCTATGTGGGCAGGGCGGTGGTTGAAGGCCTGTGGCTGCGCTACCAGGGGATGCCAGTGGAGGAGGACGTGGGGCGGGAGCGGCGGCGGCGAGTGCTGCAGACGCTGGTCTGGTTCCTGCTCACCCTGCTGCTGGCGCTCTTCATCCCTGACATTGGCAAGGTCATCTCAGTCATCGGGGGCCTGGCTGCCTGCTTCATCTTCGTCTTCCCAGGTACAGGCCCCTGACACCCCCTCTCCCAGCCCCAAGTCACACATTCCCTGGCCTCAGCTTCCCAGTGGTTCAAAACCTGCCAGGGAGAGTAACTGCCAGCATGTTATTATTAATCACCCACCTCAGCTGTATGGTAGCCCCTGCCCAAGCAGTTATCTCCTGAGTGGGTCGCAGACTTGCCTAAAGGCTAACAGATTCAGCTAGTAAGTAAACCTCTTCCAAGCCGAGGCTGTCTGTGTCCAGAGTTGATACTCTCAGTCCTTCATTCAAATACCTATGGCTCCCTGACTGTTGGGGATCTGTCTGGCTGGTTTAGCCCATTACAGCCCAGAAGGCAGCGGCGTCTGGTGGTAGCACCCTGACACACACATCGGGAGACCTGAGTTCTAGACATGGGTCTGTGCCAGATCCCTGGGGAGTTGTCCTGTCTGCCCAGCCATGATTTCCACCCATACCCAGCATATCTAGGAAGCCACCTTGAAAGCCCTGCCACTTTGCTTGGAGCAAGGGAGCCACATCTGCGCACAAGTGCACTGGAAAGAGCCCTGCGGTTGGGCTCCACTGGGTCACCATTCAGGGCTGTCTCTTTAGTTCCAAGTCTCGTATGCAACTTTGTCAGATGCTGGCTGTCCTGGGGGAGCAGATGCCAGGCCTCCCAGCTGGATGTAGAATGGGGGGCAGAGGTGGACTATCCAGAAAAATAAACACGGGCCTTTCTGTATGTACCACCACTGCCTCTTGGAAGCGGGTAGGCTGGGCCTGAGGGAAGGAGTCCCTAAACCCCACAGACTCTCAGGGCTACCTCTTTCCTAACAGGGCTGTGCCTCATTCAGGCAAAACTCTCTGAGATGGAAGAAGTCAAACCAGCCAGGTAAAGCATGGCCCAGCCCATGGTCCTCCTTGGGAGGTGGTGGATTGGGGGTTGACCTTAGAGGGGCCTTAATAAAGGCAGAAGTCAAGAGACTTGTGTGCTTAAAAATCATGGGGTTTTTAATACTGTTTTTAAAATGGGTAACATGCTAGTTGTAATAATTCAAACACTATTGGCCGGGCTCACACTATTGGCAGTGACTCGAGCCCGTAATCCTAGCACTGTGGGAGGCTGAGGCAGATGGATTGCTCAAGGTCAGGAGTTCGAAACCAGTCTGAGCGAGACCCCTTCTCTACTAAAAATAGAAAGAAATTGATTGACCAACTAAAAATATATATACAAAAAATTAGCCGAGCATGGTGGCGCATGCCTATAGTCCCAGCTACTAGGGAGGCTGAGGCAGTAGAATCGCTTGAGCCCAGGAGTTTGAGGTTGCTGTGAGCTAGGCTGATGACACAGCACTCACTCTAGCCTGGGCAACAAAGTGAGACTCTGTCTCAAAAAAAAAAAAAAAAAAAAAAAATCACTGTTGAAGGGCTTAAGAGAAAAAAGTAGAAGTCAGAAGTCCCCCTCCCCCATAGCACACTCCCCACCACACCCCTTCTCCAGAGATGGCTCTGTGTTAGCAGTGTGCACTGTGCCCCCACACTGTCTCCAGGCATGTGTATGTTTCTGTGTACACAGAGCTATGTGTATGTATATACAAATAAGAGGCTTTTGTAAACAATTTTGTTTTATCAAAAATGGTTTCATGCCAGACACACTTTTCTGTGACTTACATTTTTTCACTTCTCCATGTCAGCACAAGATTTGCTTCTTCCTTTTATAAGTGGCTACAGAGTATTCTGTTGGGTGAATGTGTCCTGAATGTGGATACTCATAAACAACATGACACACCTATTCAAGGATTTTGGTAGGATCGAGTCTCAGAAAAAAACTGTTGGGTGTCAGAGCATCTTTGTTTTACTTTATATTTTTGTTTGTTTGTTTTTTAATTTTTTAGAGATGGGGTCTCACTCTGTCACCCGGGCTGGATGCAGTGGCCTGATCATAGCTCACTGTAACCTCAAATAACTGGATTGAAGCCGTCCTGCTGCCTCAGACCATGCCCAGCTAATTTTTAAATTTTTTGTAGAGATGGGCTCTTGCTGTTTTGCCCAGGCTGGCCTGAAACACCTTGCCTCAAACAATGCTTCTGCCTCAGCTCCCAAAGTGCTGGGATTATATGCATGAACCACCATGCCCCACCATGTTCATTTTGCTTTGGCTCATGGGTTCCAATTACCCTCCAAAAAGGCAGTGCCAACTAGAGTTGCAGCAGCAGTGAATAAGAATGCCCTTTTTCCCCACACTCCTGCCAGCACTGTATGTCATAGCCTTTCTAAGTTTTGTTAGTCTGATGGATGAGAAATATTACATTGTTTTAATATGCAAATTTCCCTGAGCAATGGAGAGGTTGATAACAGGTTGCATGCTTTAAAAAAATTATTACATCATAGTCTTGTTCATTATAGAAAACTTAAAAAATACAAACATGTCTAGAGAAGAAAATAGGGCATGGTGGCTCACACCTGTAATCCTGGCACTTTGGGAGCCTGGGGTGGGATGATCACTTGAGCCCAGAAGTTTGAGACTAGCCTGAGCAACAGAGCCAGACTGTGTCTCTACAAAAAATAGAAAAATTAGCTGAGTGGGGTGGTGCACGCCTATAGTCCCAGCTACTTGGGAGAGGGAGGCAAGAGGATCGCTTGAGCCCAGGAGTTTGAGGTTGTAGTGAGCTATGATGATGCCTCTGCACTTTAGCCCAGCCAGGAGAGCAAGACCCCATCTCAAACAAATTAAACAAATGTAAAAATTTTAGCTGGGCACAGTGGCTCAAGCCTATAATCCCAGCTACTTGAGAGGCTGATGCAGGAGGATTACTTGAGCCCAGGAGTCCGAGGTTACAGTGAGCTATGATCGCAACACTGCACTCAGCCTACGCAACAGAACAAGACCCTATCTCTTAAATATATATGCATATTAAATAAAAAATAACCCTTCATCTCAGTACCCTGTTGCTATTTTTGATAGGTATATTTGCAGATGTCTGCTTTTCGTTTCTTTTTTCTGATGAAATGGATCATGTTCCATGGCCTGTTTTTTTCCTGAACATCTTTCCAATAGGAGACCTGGTCCTGCCCTTGGTGTGTTGTGACCAGTCAGTTCATCCCATTAGGTCTTGGTCCCCTTACATATGGACTAGGTATAATACACTTGCCCTACATGCTTTTTTCTTTTTTTTTTTTTTTGAGACAGAGTCTCGCTTTGTTGCCTAGGCTAGAGTGAGTGCCGTGGCATCAGCCTAGCTCACAGCAACCTCAATCTCCTGAGCTCAAGCAATCCTATTGCCTCAGCCTCCCTAGTAGCTGGGACTACAGGCATGCGCCACCATGCCCAGCTAATTTTTTGTATATATATTAGTTGGCCAATTAATTTCTTTCTATTTATAGTAGAGATGGGGTCTCGCTCAGGCTGGTTTCGAACTCCTGACCTCGAGCAATCCGCCCACCTCGGCCTCCCAGAGTGCTAGGATTATAGACGTGAGCCACCATGCCTGGCTCCCTACATGCTTTTGTATGGAAAAGTCCTTGGGAAATAGGAAGTGCTCTACCAGCAGGAGAAGTAGTGTAATTACAGTAATTAATTGATATATATATTGAAGTCTGCAGAGTCGTGGGATGGGAGAACTGATCAGGCCCCTCTCATCTTCTGCCCTACAGCTGGTGGGTGCTGGTCAGCTACGGAGTCCTCTTGGTCACCCTGGGAGCCTTCATCTTCGGCCAGACCACAGCCAATGCCATCTTTGTGGATCTCTTGGCATAACCACTGCCTTCCAGGGACCACGTGGCCTTTGCCACTAGACCTAGGAACACATCTCTTAGAGCTGTGGGACCACTCTGTGTCCACCATCATTCCAACTAGTAGGATGACATCTGGACATCCTTTTCCAGGGACAGTTTTGTGGCAAAATCAGGCCCCACACCTCTGGACAGCTCAAACCCAGCTCCCTTCCTGCTCCCCAGCCCTGGCAGTGCTGGGATGGTGGCAGTTCTCATGTCACAGAGGAACCTTCTTCCTCCCCCAGCTCTCAGCTTCTCCATGCCTGGAACCCATGGTGAAGAGGCCAGTGGGTCTCAGAAGAAGGCACCCAATCTGAATTCTTTCTGGTGAAAGACTGTGGACAAAAGGCCACCAGCCTCCACAAAGCAGCCCATCCGGAGTAGGGGCTGTGCTCATTATCTGGGGGTCAACGGTGGCTTCCTCTGGCAACCTCCAAAGGTAGCATTGCAGTCATACAAATACGCAGAGGCAGGTGGATTCAGGCCTTGTCTGCTCCCTCCTGGGGCCCCACCCTTTCTCTTTCTCCAAACCTGATGATCCAGGCTGGGCACCCCTGTCCCCTTCCATCCCCAGGCATCACCAAGTCTAATGTTTACAAACGGTGCCAGCCCGGCTCTGAAGCTAGGGGCCGTCCTGTGCCATGGTGCTGTGAGTATTCCTCCGTTAGCTTTCCTCATGGGGTTGGGGGAGTCTGCTTTTCTCTCTCAGATTCCAGAGCCTCTTTGCAGAGGCTCCAGGGTGGGTGAGAGTGAAGGCTGGGAACCTTTCAGACCCTTCACGCAGGCTGGGCTGACCAGGATCAAGGTGAACCTCTCTGACATTTTTTCAGTGATTGTTTCTCTTCTCCCTGCCTCTCCTCTTCCTCCTCCCTTGCCAACTCTAGCCTGATAACTCAGAGAGAAGAAAGGCAGCCAGGTTGTCACTGACAGGCACAACATTTGAGCCTGTCACACTGGCCTGGAAGTTTCCTTTCCAGTCTGGATCTTGTCTGTTCCCTTCCTCTCCCTGTTCACTACCTACCCCATGGCTCTGCGTAGCTCAGTCTCTCCCACTCACATAAGTTGGGGGATGGGGATGCCAAACCCTCTCACAACTTCCTCAGCAGCATATGTCTATTGGTCCTGGCCTTGGTGGCCTGTCATTCACATTGAGGTCATACCTGGATTGTTATCCCAGACAGGGTGGGGAGGAACACTGCCCCCCCTCCATACTCACATTTGACTTTCTCGGCCCCTCAGCTGCCCCCTGTTCATTCTGGCCAGTCCCAGGTACCAGTCTGGCTTTCCTCCTTCACCTGGAACCTTCAGCATTTCCATGGCCCCTTCTGCCCAAAATCTCTGTAGTGGGTGTGCCCAGCAGCCCACCACTCAGGGAAGAGGCTGGTTGAAGGCTAGCTAGGCTTCTGCTCGGTCCCCAGACTGGATGAACTGCCTTTTCTCACGTCCCCTCCTGGTGCCTCATCTTGTCTGCCCTGGGGCCAACCCCACTCTGCTGTTCTCCTGCTCAGCCCCTGGGCCTGAAGAGGCTAGGAGGACAGCCCAGACAGCAGGGCTGCACAGCCTCCCAGTGCTGTGTTTCAGGGTAGGGGCGGGGAGATGTAGGAGGAATCATTGCAGACACAGACCATCAGGAAAAGGAGCTGGAATCTTGCCTCTTGGCCTAAGCTCAGGAGCCCCCCTCCCATCCTCTGTGTCCTTTCTGTCAGGGTATTTCACTGTTTCTTTTCTACTTGTGCACACTAAGAAAAGGGAAGATGGTTAATAAAAGGGACTTGTGCTGCTGAGCTGCATCCCTTGTGTCTGGTGGTGGGGGCAGAGTCTGGGCCACTGCCAGGAGGAAGAAGGGCTGCGGTGGGAAGTATAGATGGCACATCATCCTCTATGACCCCCATTTCAGGAATGGCAACACCGGGCTCCCTCTACCAAGCAGGAACCTGGAAATGGCTCTTGCTACCTCCCTTTTCTCCCGAATCCCACCAGTCCTCCCCCACTAACTTGGGAATGCATCTCGGTCTCCAGTCATGCTACCTCTGCCTTCACTCAACACTGTCTTTCCTGCACCTCTGTGGCCTCCGACTGGCCCCCTGACCTCAAACCTTGGGTGAGGGGCCAGGCGCAGTGGCTCATGCCTGTAATCCTAGCACTCTGGGAGGCCGAGGCAAGAGGATCGCTCAATGTCAGGAGTTCGAAACCAGCCTGAGCGAGACCCCATCTCTACTAAAAACAGAAAGAAATTAATTGGCCAACTAAAATATATAGAAAAAATTATCCGGGCATAGTGGCACATGCCTGTAGTCCCAGCTACTCAGGAGGCTGAGGCAGAAGGATCACTTCAGCCCAGGAGTTTGAGGTTGCTGTGAGCTAGGCTGACGCCACGGCACTCTAGCCTGGGCAACAGAGTGAGACTCTGTCTCCAAAAAAAAAAAAAAAACCTTGGGTGAGCTTCAAACTCCTAAGCATCACTCTCATCTTTTCAGAGGCAGGTGTTGAGCAGGCCTCCGCCATCCTGTTTATTACAGCCAATCAGCCGTGCTCAGTGCTGGTGAGAAAATAATAAGCAAAACAGACTCCAGCTCTGCTCTCGGCCTAGTACTGCAAAGACTGGTGCTAAGCAAGTAGTCACACAAGTATATACTTGGAAATTGTGTTAAGTGCCAAGAAGGGAAAATAGAGTGTATTATATTTGGGCCTTGTCTGGGAATCGAGAAAGACTTCCTGGAGGAAGTGATGTTTGAGCTGGCTCCCGGATGATGACCTGGAGTTACCTAAGGGAAGAGAGCTGGGGAGACCTTCCAAGCTGGGAATGGCATGTGCTGAGCTCCCTGAGCTGGGAGGAACATGGCTTGAGGAACAAAGTGGCCAGTATAGGTAGAACATTGCCTAACTGTGGAGCCCAGCAGAGGTGAGACTAGGGAGTTCTAGGCAAGTCTTCAATGGCTCCCTCTTGCCCTTAGGATCAAGTCTAACCAGCTCATTTCCCACCACACTCCCCTTCTCTGCTCCAGTCATACTCCAGTGAAGATGAGCTCCCCCCAACCATGCCTCATTCTGGTAGGGGAGGGACTCACCCTCCAAGGAGGAAACACTTAAGATGGGCTTGCAGAGCAGGGTGGCTTTAGGTTTTGGGCTTTGGGCTATGTTCACACCAGACTAGTGGTCCCAGAGCTGGAGGTTAGGTTTCACTGTCCCTGAACAGAGGGAAGGAAAGGTTACACCTATGCCAAAGTCCACTCCCCCACCCCCTGTGCAAACAGCCAGATTCATCCAGTCATGCTTTTTTTTTTTGAGACGGAGTCTCACTCTGTTGCCTGGCCTAGAGTGCTGTGGTGACACTTAGCTCACAGTAACCTCGAATTCCTGGGCTCAAGCAATCCTGCTTCATCCTCTCGAGTAGCTGGGGATATAGGCATGCACCACCATGCCTGGATAATTTTTTTTCCTATATATTTTTAGTTGGCCAATTAATTTTTTTTTTTTTTAGTAGAGACAGGGTCTCACTCTTGCTCAGGCTGGTTTCGAACTCCTGACCTTGTGCGATCCACCCGCCTCGGCCTCCCAGAATGCTAAGATTACAGGCGTGAGCCACCGTGCCCAGCCCCAGTCGTGCATTTTACTAAAGATATCCCTAGCTTAATGTTACACATGTAAGCACTTGATCGATGTCTGTCTCCCCCATTAGACTGTAAGTTCCATGGGAATACTCCCATGTCTTCCCTATTCACCAGGCATCTTACCCCAGTGCCTGGCACATAGTAAGCAAGTGCTCAGTAGCTGTTGAGGGCAGGGCACAGTGGCTCACGTCTGTAATCCAGTACTTTGGGAGGCAGGGCTGGGAGACTTCCTTGAGCCCAGGAATTGGAAGTCATAGTGAGATATGATGATGCCACTGCACTCTAGCCCAGGGAAGAGAGTGAGACCCTGTTTCAAAAAATAATTTTTAAAAGTAAAAAAAACAAATTAGCTGGGCACAGAAGTAGTTCCCAGCTATTCGAGAGGTGGGAGGAGCGCTTGAGCTTGTCTCTACAAAAGTTTAACAAGCAAATGAATGAATAGGAACATTTGTTGAGTACTCACACTGGATAGCACATTACTTGCATCATCACTTGCTCTTCACAATTCCTCTATGAAGAAGCCAAGACTAAGAGAGATGACATAGTTTGCCCACGGTCACACAGGTCACAGGTCAAGATTGCAGCCAGACAGCACTCCTGTCATGCCTGAATAAACAAGTGAGCAGAGGGCTCTCAGAGACAGCCTGATGATTTCTGACCCCAGAAGGCAAGCCCAGGACCCTACCACACTCATGCTGGCACCAACACCAGATCTTGGAACTTTCGAGTCCTCTCACAGCCAGTCTATTTCAGGTGATGGTCAAATGACGGAGTACCTGCTGCTGCTGGCCCTGGGCAAGTTGCTTCACCTCTCCAGGCCTCTGTTTCTCTGTCTCTAATATGGGAAGGATAATCACTGGCCTTATTTACCTCCCAGGGCAAAGGAAAGCCAGAGTAAAGAAAGCCCTTGGAGGCTGAGCATGGTGGCTTATGCCTGTAATCCTAGCACTCTGGGAGGCTGAGGCGGGAGGATCATTAGAGCTTAGGAGTTCGAGACCAGCCTGAGCAAAAGCGAGACCCTGTCTCTACTAAAAAAAAAAATAGAAAAAATTAGCTGGACAACTAAAATAAATAAATATATATATATTAGCCAGGCATGGTGGCACATGCCTATAGTCCCAGCTACTTGGGTGGCTGAGGCAGGAGGATTGCTTGAGCCCAGGAGTTTGAAGTTGCTGTGAGCCAGGCTGATGCCATGGCACTCTAGCCTGGGCAACAGAGTGAAAGAAACTCTGTCTAAAAAAATAAAAAGAGGAAAGCCCTTGGAAAGTAGCAAGTGCTTTCAACCAAAGGCCACATGTATAAAAGAAATGTGCAAACTCAGCTTCTAAAGAGGACACAAGTCAGGGTGCTTCTCAAACTTTAACTTGTGTAAAAGAGCATATGAATCACAAATCACCTGGAGGTCTTGGGGTACAAATTCTGACCCAGTAGACCTGGAGTAGGACCTGAGGTCTGCATTGCTGACACTCCCAGATTGCAAGTGCTCTGGCGGTCTTGGGGCCACATTTTGAGTAGCAGGAGCCTCATGGATAGAGGAAAGCCTTTGGCGTCAGACAGACCTGACTTGAATCCCCATGCTGCCTCTTAAACTGTGAGAAACTCAGGCAGTTGGTTCACTTCTTTGAATCTCCTTTTCCTCAACTGTAAAGTGGGGGTGGTAGGTTATCAGAACTTACTAACATTAGTGTCACTAAAGTTGGTATCCAACCCCCCACTGCTAAATTTGGCTAAAAAAAAATGGGGGTGGTGATGCCTACCTTGTAGATGTAGATATCACAAATCCAACGATAATGGTATAATAATACGTGTGACACGCATGGCGGCAGGGTTGGCTATTTCACTATAGGAGTGTGTAACAGCAGTTTCTGCCTTTGCTCAATAGAGGTCACCTTTGCATAATTTCTATTATGAAAGTGGGAAGCCTGTGGCCTCAGAGGAGAATCCAGGCCTCTGAGTCACTAGAACTCCCAATGACTCGGCTGCTTGGTACATCTGAGTGACACCCCTGTGCTAAGGCTGGGCCACCTATAAGTCATGGCCTCCAGTCTGGCAGGGGAATCAGACCGATCCAATATTCACAGATGCTGTGTAGGTACGTGTGCTAGATGTACCTGTAGATATTACAAACCCAGATTCGGTAATAGTTCCTAGGTATGACACAATGAAAAAACATTCCAGGAAGGAGCTGTGGAGGAAAGCCAAAGGCTTTGCAGCCAGGAAGAAGGCAGACACCCTGTCCTCCAAACATGTCAAGTTTCCTAGGGGAACTAGGCACAAGATTCATCTGTGTAATCATTCTTCCATTAAAAACAAATTCATGGTGGCCGGGCGGCGCGGTGGCTCACGCCTGTAATCCTAGCATCCTGAGAGGCCGAGGTGGGAGGATCACTCAAGGTCAGGAGTCCAAGACCAGCCTGACCAAGAGTGAGACCCTGTCTCTACTATAAATAGAAAGAAATTAATTGGCCAACTAAAAATATATAGAAAAAATGAGCCGGGCATGGTGGCACATGCCTGTAGTCCCAGCTACTTGGGAGGCTGAGGCAGAAGGATTGCTTGAGCCCAGGAGTTTGAGGTTGCTGCGAGCTAGGCGGAGGCCATGGCACTCACTCTAGCCTGGGCAACAAAGTGAGACTGTCTCAAAAAAAAAAAAAAACCCAACAAATTGATGCATTAAGAGAATGCTGCAGATAAACCTTAAAATCCCAACGGCTTAAGATAACAAAGGTTTATATATCACCCTCATCACAGTCTAATGCAGGTGGTCCTGGGCAGGCACATGAAGGCAGGGGTGAGGCTTGGGGCTGGCAGGGAGGTGGCTGAAAATTTTCACAGTGTGGTTGAATCCTGGAGTTAATACTGCTGAAGACGCACCCAGACCCTCTTTGGGTGTGTCACTGGGCTGATACACCCAAGTCCCAGTGGCTGTCAGTTTGGCTAAGAGTCCACAGCTGCCCTCTATTCAGCTGAGCTGCCCTCTACTGGAAAGGCACCCAGGCTCCACTGGGAAGTTGCGTCACACAGTCAACGACTGATTGAGATGGGCATCTAAAGCCAGGCCCCACCCCCCACCTCGCACTCCCCACCCCTGGCCTCAAAGTGAGACTACCTTCATGGTGGCCCCAGAACACCCTCGAGATCAGGATGTAGCCATTCTCTAGCTAAGACCA